ATCAAAGTGTGAGAGAAACATTGAATGGCTGCCTCTTGCAGGCCCCCAACTGGGAACCTAGCCCATGCAACCCAAGCATGTGCCCTGACCAAGAATTGAACCGGTGACCTTTGATTCCTAGGCTGGTGCTCAACCCTCAGAGCCACACCATCCAGGAAAGCTGGCAGCTCTGGGCCAGAAAATGCCTTTAAGGGCAAACAGCTCTGCAGTGCGACCCACTCCTTCCACACCCCACGGCAATTCAGCTCTCCCATCCCCATGATCTGTTGGCTGGAGGTGGTCTCTGGAACCAGAAGCACCTGGGCGTTAAACCCTGGTTCCAAGGCCCGCGAGCTGTGTGACCAGGGGCAAGTGAATCCACTGTGGAGCCTCAGTTTGCCTATTGGGAAAATGAGGATCACAGGAGGACAGACACCTGAGGGCTGCCATCAGGTTTAACTGATGCCTGGCCCGTAAATGCTCCCCAAGTGGTAGCCACTGTCATTATTATCAGTGCTATTATTTGTCCCTCTGGGTGCTGAACAGACTTGGGCTGTCTCTTTCCTCCTAGATGTGGTAACCACAACCTCCTAGAGGGGAAGTGATTTGTCCAAGTCATCAGCAAATCAGTGGACAAGTGGCCGGAACCCAGACACCCCCAGAAGCCCAGGCCTCCTGTAGAGACAGGTCCTTACCGAGGCAACCCTGAAATCAGCCCTCCCACCCCGGATTCAACCGCTTGTCCCCTGGGCCGCGCTCTCACCCTCCGGCTTGGCGTCCTCCTTCGCTTTGGCCAGAAGCAACCAGCCCAGAGGGACCAGGAGCAGCAGGGGCCTCATCGCCAGGGTCTGGGGACGTCCGGCCGGCCCCGCAGCACTAGCAGGATAGAAACTTCGCGACGAGGCCGTCGGTCCCGCTGCCACGCACTGGACCCGCCCCGGGGGCGGTGTCGCGCCGCCCCGCACCCCTCCCTGCCGCCCGCCCCGGGGGAAGGATTTTCCTGCAGACTTGCCAGAACAGAGGCCTCTTTAGTTGGAGCAGTTCCTCTGGCGCGTCCCCGCGGCTCCCGGGTCCTGCCGCCGACCTGACCTCCTCGCTCCCTTCCCAAGGGGGCTGCACTACGACCGGGAAAAGGAGGGAGAACGGGGCGAGGCAACGATTTCTCTACCCCAGATTCTGCGCCAAGGCTTGATGGTATCAATAACTGTGAGCCCCAGTTTCGTCGCCTGAAGTGGGGATTACAATGGCATCTGTTCATCGGGTCTTGCACAGGTTAAGGAGTGTTACCTGTAGCTCACTTAGAGCAAGCAGCGCGGCGATAAGCCATCAGTGAGACTCGGCTCTTAGGATTTCCTTAGTCCTCTGGTAAACCCGTGGGCGTGTGGGTCTGAGCCCTGAGTTGGTGGCGGGGGCTGCGGGGAATGTGTTCAGAGGCATCCACGGCCCTGCCGAGATTCTGCTGGCAGCTGGAACCCTGGAGAAAGCTTATCACCACCCCGCAAAAAAGGAATCAAGCAATGTGCCTTTTTGTCCCTGGGAGGCAGCGCTGATGAATGAATGGTTGGGAGGAAGGGAGGGAGGAGGGAATTATTTAGGCCCCTTCACAGATGGGGTCTTCTCAAAGCCCAGCAAACCACTCGGGGTCTCTAGAACAAGGGTTCCTGGCGCAGATGTCTGCCAGGAGCTTCCATCTCTCGGAAGAGTCACTCAGATCCAGGGGCCTCTTCGAAGCAGACTGGCCTCCAGAGGAGCGCGTGGTAGACAGGGCACCCCTTTAGGGGAACAGAGCGCGTAGAGGAGAGGAATGTCATTGTCAATAGCCACACAAAGCAGGCCACAGGTAGGCGCTGGGATTAGAGAAATCAATGGTACCCGAGACGGCTCCCCCAAGGGAAACCCACTTCTGAGATGACACATAGTGGAAGAAGCTATGTGTACATCGGACCCCTCAGTAAAAATATGCTTTTATAAAGACAATGTTAAAACGACAGCCAAATGTTTACAGTGATTACACACACACACACACACACACACACACAAAATTATATTATTGCCAGGTAGGGGTTTTTTCATTGTTTTTATGATTTTTTTTTACAATAAGTATATATACTGTTTGTCCAAACCAATGCATGTTACTTTTAGAAGATAGTTCCAATCTCTGAGAACCAGAGAAAACATCTCATGGTACTGAGATTTACTCGTACAGATGGTGCAAGCGAGGCCCAGAGGGACCCAGCAACAAGCCCGAGGTGCAAGGCAAGTAAAGGGAAGAGGCTTGCCTGTGATCCACGGCTTCTACCACCCAACTGGGACCCAGGGTCGGGAGTTTCTGCAGCTGGGGACAAGACTTGGTGCCCAGGTCCACCGGATGTTTTTGAATTCAGAGGATGCACACTAAAATTCCAAACCCTTTGAGGAGGAAATGGAGGGATGAGCAGAGAGGAGGAGAATGCGCACATGTCGGGCAGGCTGTTTTCAAAGCTCCGTCGCCTTCCTTGCTCACGACAGCCTTCCAACGAGACGGGGTTGCCCCCAGTTGTGGAACTGCAGCTCGGAGAAGTGAGTGAATCAACCTGCTCGGAGGCACACGGCTGATGTGGGAGCCCAGTAAGGGAGGCAGCTGTGGAACCTGGCTCCAGCCTCCTGTTTTCTGGGGCCCAAGGAGAACCTCAGTGCTGGTGTTCTGTGGACCGAAAAAACACCTTGGGCAGTGGAGTTCCAATGACCCAAGTCCCCAGAGCGGGGACCAATGTGGAAGGCTGCTGGCCTCCGCTGGAGAAAGGGCTCACCTTGGGGAAGTCTGCCCCCACCACACCCTCGGTGTCTGTTTCTCTCTCCCTTCATCAAACTGCTGGAACCTGAACCCCGTCCAAGCTTCATCCAAAAAGACAGCCTGTCTCTTTAACCAGGGGCGGCTGCTGCCCAGATGTTACTCCTGGTACGTGCAGCACACGTTCTGCACACTTAAAGGTGCAGGACCCCACTTTCCTGGGAAAGTACAGAAAGGATTACTGGCCTGGAGGGCAGTTCCACGGGATCTTTTCAGAGGACAGTCACACTGTATGCTGCCACACAGGCTGGCAGCTGGCCCTCAGTCCCCTCCCTCTTCACACCCATCAACTAATCCCACTGGCACCAGCCCCTTTAATAGTAATAATAATAATAATAATAATAATAATAATAATAGAAATGGAATTTCCAGCTGTTTCCCTAAGGACAAAAAGATGCAAATGTAAATTATATGCTACAAGTTCTGCGAAAGAAAAAATATACACTGTATGTCTATATGTCTGTGTACGTGTAAGCGAACAGAGTGTCTGGAAGAATCCAAAGAACTGGTGGCAGGGCTCTCAGTGGGGGCCCCAGGAGGGAGGAAGACGATTGTTACTCTTCACCATTTTGCACATGTTGAATTTCGTATCATGTATCCTGTTTCCCAGTAAAAACAAATCAAATAATGAATAGTTATTTTGAGCCAGGCACTATGGTAAATGTCTCCTGTATTTGTCCGATTTAAGCCTCAGAGCAACCTTTCTCTGTCTCAAGATCCCCATGTTACAGCTGGAGTAACTGAGGCCCAGGGAAGTTAGTTGACTTGCTAGCAAGGGGTGAGGCCAAGACTCAAAACTCAGACAGCCTGATGCCGAGGTCCTTACTCGTGACCCACTGGCTGTCTTGTGGCTATGTTGCTGACCCTTGGCTTCAAGTCCCTCCACCCTGGGGTGTTTGAGAATGGCCAGGGGGTTCCCTGAAAATCAACCTTCCCTTTGACTGGAAATCTGTTTATAGAAATTGCTCCCCCCAAAAAACTCACAAGTGGGCCAAGACATATGCCTATGACATGGATGTTTGTAATGGTGAAAATAACAATACGGGTTTACAGTTAAAATTACTTACTATGTGCCATGCACCTTGCTTGCTTTATCCGCAGAAACATGAGAGGCAGGGTCTGCGGTCATTGGCATTTCACAGGTGGGATCACCAGGGTCTGGCCTGTTTTCACTTCACTGTGTTCTCGAACATACGCTTCTGCCTGCTTCAGGAGGAGGCTGGGTGGCTCTCTTAACAGCGGCGCATGGATTCCTGTGCGGCCACAAACATATTCTGTGGGTTTTGTGATCTCCCAGTGGTAGCTAAGAACTTTGTGTTTGTGGGTTGATAAAAACCTTGGGGGGGGGGGGGGGGGGAGGGAGAAGAGAAGGTACTGTAGGATCACCCGGACAGACACCTTTCCACACGGCGGCACAGGCCCACAGACTCATCAGACGCACGTATGTGCTCACAGCCCACAAGAAGCCACTCGAATGCCGGTTTAACTTCCAACAACTGGGGAGCACTGTTGGGCTTTGGAATGCCCAACAACCACCCCATTGTCCGCCCCTGTGCTCATACTGATTTTTTTTGCAAAATGTCTCGTTTGCATTGATGACTCACAATTTTAGGGCATTTTCAAAGTCTGAGACTATATAGTGCCTTATGTTATTTAATAAGTTATAACTCAGAGTCGACACGAAGACGACTTGTGGCGGCAGAGAAATGGCCGGTGGTGGGCTGGGTTTGCGTCTGGTATGCGGCACATGCGGCCAGACAGTCGGGAAGAGTTGTCAACAGGGTATTTGCTAGGAAGTCTAGTTTAGAGCGGTTACTCCTTTGCTCTTTTCTTTTTTTTCTTTCCTTTTTGTACTGTTCTGTTTGCAATGAGGATCATTTTTGCAGAAAATTTATTATTATTATTATTATTTAAATCTTAGGACTGTTGAATCCATTAGTGGCAAGCTGGGCCCAACACAAGCTCGGTTTGGCTGACTCGGTGTTTCTGACAAGTGAGTTGGGTGCACCTCTTGCTCCTCCTCTCCGCGCCAACCCTCCCTCGCTCTTTCCTTGAACTTCACTCCATCTGCCCGGGAAGGCGCGGTCCAACCCCACTCCTGGCTCCCGTCCCTTTCCCGCTGTGGCTCCGCCTATTTTCTCTGGCCCGCCCCTCTCTCCTCCCCCTCTTTTCCATATGTCGCAAAAGACTCGGCGGCCCTTGACGGCCGGCGTCGTTCGACAGTCCCCGAAGAAGGAGGAGGAAGAGACAGTGGCGCCTACTGCGGCGGCTGCGACGCGGTCCGTAGTGGGTGCGGCGGTCCCGGTTGGACAGTGAGGCGCGGGCGGCCGGGCCGGTAGGCTGGGCGGCGGGCCCAGCGGCCGCCCCCACGCCGCGCCCGGCGGCCCGATGTGGCTGCAGCAACGGCTTAAGGGGCTGCCGGGACTGCTGTCGAGCAGCTGGGCCCGCCGCCTTCTCTGCCTGCTTGGCATCCTGCTGCTGCTTCTGTGGTTCGGGGGCTCCGGGGCGCGGCGAGCGGCGGGTGGCCTGCACCTGCTGTCCTGGGCCCGAGGCGAGGCGGGCGCCGCCGAGCCCTCTGCCTGCCTGGAGGCGGCCACCCGTGCCTGGCGCGGCCTGCGGGAGCGCGGCGAGGCTGTGCCGCTGGGTCCTGGGGTGCCAGCCCTGGTGGCCAACGGCTTCCTGGCCCTGGACGTGACTGCCAACCGGCTGTGGGTGACCCCTGGGGAGCGGGAGCCCGCCGTGGCGCCAGACTTCGTGCCCTTTGTGCAGCTGCGCCCGCTCAACGTGCTTTCTGAGGCTGGCGAGTCAGTGCTCCTGCTGCGTGAAGGGCTGCTGCGCCGGGTGCGCTGCTTGCAGCTCGGGACCCCAGGTTCCGGCGCTGCAGCGGCCGCCCCCGGGCCAGGCTTAGCCTCTGGCCTTGTCACGGGATCCGGCCGCGACTGTGTGCTGCTGCAGGAGGACTTTCTGGCCCACCGGGGCCGACCCCACGTCTATCTGCAGCGCATCCAGCTCAACAACCCCACGGAACGCGTGGCCGCGTTGCAGACTCTGGGACCCACAGCTGCTCCGGTCCCCAAGACCTACACCAGTACCCTGGAGAAAGTTGGAGACCATCAGTTCCTCCTCTATTCGGGCCTGTCCCCGCCTTTTCCCACCGGGCTGGTGCACCTGGTGGTGGTGGCCGCCAAGAAACTAGTGGACCGGCTCCAAGTGGCTCCCAAGACGCAGCTGGATGAGACGATACTGTGGGTGGTGCATGTCTCAGGCCCTGTCAACCCCCAGGTGCTCAAAAGCAAAGCAGCCAAGGAGCTCAAGGCGCTCCAGGACATGGCACGGAAGGAAATGCTGGAGCTCCTAGAGATGCCCGCAGCTGAGCTGCTTCAGGGCCACCAGCGCCTCTGGGCCCAGCTCTTCAGCCCAGGTGAGGCCTGGCAAATGCCTGGTTCAAAGTCCACACCTTGCAGCAGGGTGAACATGGTCCATCCTGGAGATGTCCCTCCAGAGCCTGCTAAGGTGACAGTGAAAGGGAGCGGAGGGGTGGTTAAGTCTTGGGCATGGCGTCTGACCTGGGGCTGATCCCGGCTGCCCCATTATTTAGTGCCTTTGTGACCTGGGCCCGCAGCCTAATCCGCCTGGTCTTGTTTTCAGTAATAACAGAGGCACCTACCTTGGAGGGCGTGTATGAGGTCCTAATGAAAGAATGCGGGTAATGGGTTGGTCTCGTTATTATTTGTTCTTGTAGGTGAGGCCTGACTTGAGCGGAGTGGTTTAGAGGGTCGGTTTGTAAAGGGGAAACAAACAGAGAGGCCTGGTCAGCCCCCACATTCTTTTCTCGGTTCCCTGTAGTCTGGCTGGTGACAAGCATGGGCTCACGACACCCCTGGAGGCTGAGATGTGCCTTAGTCACTGTGGCTGCTGTTTTTCCACAAGGAGCTAGTGGGGCCTCTCAGCAGGCGGGATGTTCTGTCAAATGAAAACTGTCCCCCTTGACTGTTCAGAGAAGAAAGTCCTGTTCTAGATGCAAGAGAGATTTTGGTTTCTGGGGGTGTAGTCTGCATCCCTACATGTAACTGCTCAGGGGTCTTTCATTCATTCAAGTGTTCATTGAGTGCTTTTGCCAGGGTCTGTTCTCCCGTGGAGAAGACGGAGTGAACAGAACAAAGTCCCTGCCTCCGTGGTGCTTGCTGGAATTCTGGGTGGGAGGAAGATGAATATTAAATTCGAATAGATGAGTAAGCTAGCTTTCTAGAAGAAAAGGTACTATGGAGAAAGTGAATCTGTGATTGAGGGTGACTGAGAGGGGCTGGAAAGGGTAGGGGTGGGCCTCTGTTTGGCTCCAGTTGTCACCAGGCCACTTGGAGGAGGAAACACGCAGCAGGCCAGAGCCCCTGAGGCAGGAGAGGTTTGGTGGAGTCCTGAGTCCTGAGTAAGGGGAGGGTCTTGGGAGGTGAGTTCAGACACGGGAGGCCAGACATCGGAGGCTCGAGCTGGCCCGATCCTACTGGGTCTTGTAGGCCTTAGTGAGTTGGTGGGGAATTCTGTTGTAAGTGGGATGGGCAGCAGGGCAGAGACAACATGTGGTACATGCTTCTAAAGGTTCCCCAGGCTGCTCTGTGCAGAGTATAGCTCTACGGGGGCAAAAGTGAAGTGTGGAGCCCGGGTGAGAGAGGCTGGGGCTGGGACCAGAGTTGTGACTGAGGAGACGGAAGTGGGTGGATTCTGATACCATTGCAGGCGGAGCTGCCAGGACTTGCCAAGGACTGGCTGTGGGGAGTGAGAACTTGTGGGGGACTCCTGATCTGGGGGAAGGGCATGAGAGGGTATGGACACCGGAAAGAATTCAACCATGTCAGGCTCAAAATGCCCGTCAGACGGTCAGAGGGAGACACCGAGTGGGCGGCCCGCTGGCTGAGTCTAGAGGTCGTACAGATTGGGGAGACCCTGGGCTCAGATGCTGCAGGATTGGGGGGAGAGAGATGATAGAGGGGAGAGGCCTGGGACTGGCCAGGGTGCTGGTGACAGTGTTCTGGGGTGGGACTTCCACTTGGCTGCAGACTGTGTTCTTTCAGGACCCGGCAAGAGGCCTTTTAACAAGATTTTAGGTTTCAGGCTCACAGGGCTCAAGCTGGTCAGGTGAGGAAGCCAGGCAGGATGACTCTCACTCCAGGGGAACTGGAACTGCCACTTTCTTACCTGGGGACCAAAACTTTGTGCCTCTGCTGCTCTTGATCTCTGTTTCGTAACCTCAGCCTCCCGTCAGGCCATCCCCGCTTAACGCGTGACCTTGTGGTGTTACAGGTGTGGAAATGAAGAAGATCACAGATGCCCACACTCCGTCTGGCCTGACCGTGAACCTGACCCTGTATTACATGATGTCCTGCTCCCCAGCCCCACTGCTCAGCCCCAACCTGAGCCACCGGGAGCGAGAGCAGATGGAGTCGACACTCAACTACGAAGATCACTGCTTCAGCGGCCACGCCACCATGCACGCCGAGAACCTCTGGCCCGGCCAGCTGTCCTCCGTCCAGCAGATCCTGCAGCTCTCCGACCTGTGGAGGCTGACCCTGCAGAAGCGCGGCTGCAAGGGGCTGGTGAAGGCGGGCGCCCCAGGCATCCTGCAGGGCATGGTGCTCAGCTTCGGGGGGCTGCAGTTCACCGAGAACCACCTGCAGTTCCAGGCCGACCCCGACGTGCTGCACAACAGCTACGCCTTGCACGGCATCCGCTACAAGAACGACCACATCAACCTGGCCGTGCTGGCGGACACCGAGGGCAAGCCATACCTGCACGTGTCCGTGGAGGCCCGCGGCCCGCCGGTCAAGATCTACGCCTGTGAAGCAGGCTGCCTGGACGAGCCCGTGGAGCTCAGCTCCACGCCCCAGGGCCACACCTTCTCGGTCATGGTGACGCAGCCCATCACGCCGCTGCTCTACATCTCCACCGACCTCACGCACCTGCAGGACCTGCGGCACACGCTGCACCTCAAGGCCATCCTGGCCCACGACGAGCACATGGCCCAGCAGGACCCCGGGCTGCCCTTCCTCTTCTGGTTCAGCGTGGCCTCCCTCATCACCCTCTTCCACCTTTTCCTCTTCAAGCTCATCTACAACGAGTACTGTGGGCCTGGGGCCAAGCCCCTCTTCAGGAGTAAGGTATAGAGCCCCTGTTCCCAGCACCTGAGGCCCCGGCCTCCTGTTCGGTCCTGCTCCAGGGCGGGCTGAAGCCGGGGTCGCCATAGGGGTCCTTCTAAGCCAGTTCCCTCAGCCCTCAACACAGAGAGAGGAGCGAGTGGGTTTTGAAAGGACATTAAAAAGTGACTTGAAAGGAGACCATAGGAAAGGACAGCTGTGGATAGATGAGCTCGCTGGCCTCCCAGGGGTGTAGGCAGTTGTCCCCCCGTCCCCACCCCAAGTGAATCTCAGCATCTGTAAATAACTGCAGCAAAGTCCTAGGTTAACCTGAAGCCTCCTTCTAAAGTGCTGGTGGACGCCCCCCCAACCCCTGAGGGCCTGTTCACTGCGTTGAGGGGGCGGCCCCTCCCTGTGGGCTGGCCCAGGGGGTGGTCTCGTCTGTGCAGGACAGGGTCACTCCCTTTGTTTTTGCTCAGACACCTTTGCCCCCAGGAGCCTCAGTTTTGACCCCAGACCCATCCGGAATGCGTCTCAGGACAGCAGGACTGGTGCCTCAGAGGACGCCACCTCTGCCCCTCCAGCCAGTTGCCTGGGCTTTTTCACCGCCAGGATGTCTGGGAGAAAGACCAGGAGGGGGCCCGTTGTTGGCTGTCAGGAGAAAGGCTAGACAGGGAGCTGAGCTTGTCTTCTGGCTGCCGTGGAGTAGAGGCATGTGGCGCTCTGGTCTGTGTTCCCAAGTGGTCGAAGAGCCAGGGGCCAGCGCAGAAGTGCCTCATCACTTTCCTGGAGGGCTTTGTGGCCAGAACTTGGAGAAAGAAGTACCATGCGACCTGAAGGAGTGGGAGGCAGGTCTGAGCTCCTGGAAGGACAAATTGAAAATCAGATCAAAAAGAAACCTGCAGACACCGTCTGCAGAGCCGTCTGGGCCGGCTGCAATAGAATAGCCGCGTGGGCGGCAGCCGCCCTGTTTAGCCCGAGGCTGCTTCTCCCTGCTGGTTGGTGGGTTCTCTGCTCTTACTGTGGCATATGCCCGTCCACCGCTCTTCCCCACACGCTCGGGGACGAGCCACACTGCCCTCATACGGTACTGCCCCATGTCCCTCAGCTTACTCGTGTAGAGCTGGTCTCGCCAGAGCAGAGCCCGGCCACCACTCTGCACCAGACCACTAACTCCGTGGTAAGGGGTAGCTCCAGCCTGTCACTGGGCTGGGAGCTGCCTGCCTGTGCAGATCGGAGCCTGGGCAGGAGCCACCATGGCTGTCCCCGTGGCCAGCTTCCCTTAGTGCTCCCGTAGCTGTCCACAGGGTTGGCGGCGAGCAGTAACGGCTTGTTTTGTTGATTGAACAGGAAGACCCCAGTGTCTGAGTGAGCTGGCAGTCCTGCTTGCAGCCACCGACTGCACAAGACGCCCAACACTGACCGTCCTGCTGCTACGAACAAGGGATCCTTTGCAAGCACCCACCCTTTCGTGCCTTGTTGGGGACACCAGTGACGCAGAGGCGCGTGTGGATGTTCAGGAGTTTACATAGGGGAGGGGAGGGGAAGGGCCAGTAGATTTTTTGTAAGCTTTCGACTCAATAAAATGAACCTATATGGAAAATACTTGAAATTGAACTCACTCCTTCCATTTTTCCCCTTTCCTCTGGCCCAGGTACTAGACCTCTTGAAAAGACTCTTGTCTGGGAAAAATTGTGGGTTTTTTCTCCTAATTTAATGTGTTCCTTCTCAACTGAAGTTTTAATTTATTGTGGAGATTTTGCTGGACGGCCTTGGCATCCACTTCAGACAGTGAATCTTGGCGGTGATTTCTGATCTCGCTGCCCGGGGTAGCGTCTGGGGGCCGTGCTCATGGCCTGCATGTATGGCGTGGGTCTCGGGTCATCCTCAGGTTTGCACATTGTCTCTTTCTTATGAGCCTGTGGAGGTCTGTGATTTTGTATTTCTGAGCTTCAGGGGAAGTGTTTTAACTTTCTAGTGATTGATGATTGTTGGGTTTTAAAATACCAAAGCTTTCTTTTCTGTTTTTAAATAAATCTCTTTCAAACTTCATGAGCTGTTTGTGTGTGGTTGAAACCTTTGGAGCTACCCTCCCTCCCTCCCTCCCTCCCTCACCAGACTTTCGGGGGGGTGTCTGAAGCAGAAGGGCCAGCAGCCCAGCCCCCAACAGGAAATCTTTTCCCACGTTTCCACCCGTCAGGGGAGTCCACTCAGATGTGAAGGCGGCCTCTGGTCTGCTCCCCCGGGGGAGGGGGCAGTCCAGCTCAGTGGGCTGCTGGAGCAGCACCATCCTGGTCCTTTCCCTGCTACTGTGCCCCCTCCCACTACCTGCCCTCAATAGCCTAGATTGGCCTGCCCTGGGTTTTGCTGTCGGGGCAGCAGGGAAAAACCCTGGGTGGATTTCTGCCACTTGTTCCCTAAAACTAAGATTTGACCCTTGCCTTTATGGGGAGGAGAATGGAGCTGCCCCCCACACCCAGCTGGGAGCCAGGGCATGGCAGTCCACCTGGGGAGGCTGTCCTTTTAAGCAGCCTGACTCACCGGAAAGCCAGGTTTCTCTGCCAAGGAGCTGAGCGTCTGGCCCACAGCAGATGGCTCGGAGAGAAATAAACACAGGTCAGGCTTGGCTACCAGCTGTCCTGGTTTCCTAGTGGCTTCAGCCCCACGCACCTTCCACTCCTGCTCTGGATAGTGCAGAGCTCAGAAATACCTCTCCCCCCTCCCCCGCCCCTCCTAGCCTGGGTCATTGGCTGGCTTGCGCATTTCGGGAAGCAGAAACTTCATGGGGTGCGGTTGGGTGTGGCTGGCGGTATGATATGCCCTCTAGTCCCCTCTAGTGATCGCATTACACAGGAAGCTGTTTGATACAAGAGCCACACTTCGCCACCCCACTCCCTCTGTTTAACCTGGAACCCACACGTTCTAGGCTCCCAAACATGGAAAAATGAACCCACATACCTGGTTCCCAAAAGATTCCTCCTGTATAACCAAAATTTTAATAAGCTACTATTTGTGGATTATATATAGCTCCCATTTGAGCGCTCACTGTACCAGTATGTGTCAGGTATTTTACATGAACTTGGCATTCTGTGGGGAGGATGTTGCTGAGGGTTAAGATACCAGTTTGAGAGATGAGGAAATGACCTCGGACTGAGTGATTTGCCCAGGACGGCTCAGCCTCTGAGTGCCAGGCTGGCAGGCAGATGGGGCTGGCCGTGGGCCCGGCCTCCCTCTGAGCCCTGACACTCCCTCTTTCTCCCCACCCTGCTCCTGTGCTGGATTCCGAGAGGTGGACTGGGTTAAGGCGTCCTCACCCCCTCCAGCATGGCATCAGCAGCTCGCCGTGAAAGTGACTTGGTTCCTCCATTCAGCCCCCCTTGCAGAGAGCAGATGCTGGCAGGCCTCCATGCGGACCCTGAGTGGGTCCACCTCACACAGTCCACTCATGCACTGAGAGGCGCCGTGTTCTCAGCCTCTTGGGCGGGATGCACAGAGAGTCTTTATCAAGTTGTTTTTTCAGAGGTGGACGCCTGGTATGGAAATTTGGGTTGCATACTACCCAGCTAGGGGACAAGTGCTCCCCTGGGGTCCCTTGGGTGGACGATTCTGAGGCACATTCTATACATGGCTCCTGGCAGGATTGGGCCCCTACTGCCCACGCTGGTGAAGAATTTGAGAAGCTACCCTCCTCACCCCATCTTCCTCCCTCCGTGTGACCCTCCCCTGGGTTCCCACTCCTGTCCCTGGGCATTTCTTCTCAAACAAGCAGCAGGCACACAAGCTCCGGTCTCAGACTAAGGCACTGACCACGAAGCCCACCGCTCTCTGGAGGGCTTTTCCAAGAGGCGTGGGATTCTCCTGCAGACATTACTGCAGACTCAATATTTGTGTCCTCTCCACGCCCCACAAATCCATATGCCGAAACCCTAATTCCAATGTGATGGTATTTGGAGGTGGGGCCTTTGGGAGGTGATTAGGTCACGAGTGTGGAGCCCTCGTGTGTAGGATTAGTGGGGACACCAGGAGAAGATAGCAGCCTGCAAACCAGAAAAGGTTCTTCCCAGAACCTGGCTGTGCAGGCACCCTGATCTCAGACCTCCAGCCTCCCAGACTGGAAGGGATCCACAGGTTCACAGGACCTTACCTAGAGAAGAAACCAGAGAGCTTTCTAATCTTGCCGCGGCACTGCCCTATAAATGGAAAGGTTGCAGGTTTGATTCCGGGTCAGAACACATGCCAGGGTGGCCCACCAGGTAGGTCCCCAGTTGGGGGCATGTGAGAGGCAGCTCAAACACATCAGTGATTCTCTCCCTGTCTCTCTGCTCCCTTCCCTTCTCTCTAAGAAAACAAATCTAAATAGTAATAATAATAATAATAAAATTATTATTTTATTATTATTATTATTAAAACCCCCTGTTTAGATAAAAAGCCAGCCCTCAGAGCCCAAAGCACTGGCCACAGGCATTTAATTCCGACTGACCAGAGCTGGTCCGGTGAGGAGCAGCTTGCCTGGGGGAAGGAAAGTATAATTAATACTGTCCCACCATGTGAATAGTGTCTGGGACCGGAAGAGCAGGCTGGCCTGTGGGTAACTGCCTGACAACAGCTGGCCATAGGGAGGCGCATGGGAGGCTGAGAAATGAAGCCCCAGGAAGGAACCTCCGGACAGATCCCCTCCCTCCCTTTTATACTGGCGCAGATACTGCTAATTTTCTTTCTCAGTATTCTCATACCGGCAGAAAGCCTCATGGCTGTCTAGAAGGAAGACTACACTTCCCAGACTGCCTTGCAGCTAGGCGTGCTCAGGAAACAGTTCTGGCCAATACGATTAGTTAAAAATTTCACTTCCCTGTTGAAGTTCTTCAACACTATTATAATCATCATCATCATATGCCTTTCTCATTCCTAATTTTAACAAATGAGCTAGTTCTAAGGCTAGATTACCTCATCAAAAAGGTAAAAAAGACCTAATAATACTTACTAAAGTATTACAAAAAATTTTCAAATTTTAAGCTTATTTAAAATAAACAGTTAAAACTTACTATAAATGCAACACTTAACACAAAGGTATTGAAACTTGCCTCCTATTTACCTCCTTGAGGAATGTTTTAAGAGTCACTTCCAAACAAAAACTTATTTAGGCATGCGCAAAAGCCAGGCCAAGTGGGTGTTACATACCCAACAAATGCCTAAGCTACGACCCACTCAAGACTTTGGAGTAGGTTTGGTGGGAAAAAGAAGTAAGGAAGTACTTGTTCAACTTCTTATTCTCTACTGCTACCATAACTCACATTAAAGACTGTCACTTAAGGTGCAAAGAACATGAGTAACAGTATGCCAAAGCACTCAAAACCTCTCCACATTTAACCATCACTCAGATAAACTTAGTCTGTCTTTTAAACTCAAACTATTAGCCTTGTAAACACAAGGCCTCAAAAAATTAGGTAAAAACTCAGAATTGTTCCTCTCCACGGAAATCTTTAGTAAAAGGCGAAAGATTTATGCGATCTGAAGAGAAACCAGAGTATACCACAGCAACCTGGCCCACATTGCTCGGGTAACTGTTACCCCTAACTCTATAATGGTGATTAATTACCTGAAAGAACTAGTCACGTCTTCCTCTTCCCCAGACAATTCTGTGAGAGAATTCTCATTTTGGGAGGAAACACAGTTCAAAGAAAAAAGGATAATCTAGTCATTTTTTAGGACAGAAATTGTTTTATGTGCAGTGCATTCTGGGTATGCAAATGAATCTTCACCACCAAGCCCCGGTTTCCAGAAATACCTTAAATAGATCGTTTGTTTCGATGCTGGGACTGAGACTACCACCAGGGGGCAGAGTGGAAGACAGATTTAAGGAATAGGAGTATAAACCTGAGCTTTGTCCAACCACAAAGAACCTGACTCTTTAACGCTGGCACTGCAAGTAAATTTCTTTTGGACTTAAAGCAATGAAATAAATGAAATTATAAAATAAAATAAAACTTGAACATAATTACCCTCAGAGACTATCACTAACATTTCATCCTCGAGGAGCGCTCTGTGTGATGGGGGTGCCAAGTGTGTGTGGTCAGCACTGATCACAGAATGTTTGCCAACATCTGGGCAGAGCGTTAAAGAATCCACAGCAGATTCTTTATGAATCTGGCCGGGTGGCCAGGGCACTCCGGCAGGGGCACCAAGCTAAGAGCTTGGATTTCCCCAGCAGGAAATGGGGAAGCGTGGAAGAGTTTTAAAAGACAGTAGCATAATCAGATCAGCGTTTTTAAGACAGTGGGCTCAACATGGGTGGTCGCTGGACCCACTGATCAGTATCATCTGGGTACTCGGCCTAGACATGCAGTTCCTGTGTCCCACCCACTCTAGACCTACTGAATCTGAAACTGGGAGTGGGGTCCAGATGCTGGGTTTTAACAAGTCCTTCAGGGGATTGCCTCACAGGCCAGCTGGAGAACCACCGTTGGACAACCATTCCGGCTACTGCGGCAACTGTAGGAAACAGGAAGGTGTGGAGAGGCGATTTAGGAGGCCAAGCATTATATGGAGAGACATACGTGGTGGCCTGGATGGTGGGGCAAGGCCTGGGAAAGAGTGGGAAGTGAGAAGAGAAAACGGCCAGGTAGAGCCTTAGAGGATGGTGGCATAAAGGGGGGTGGGCTGGGTGTCGCGGGGAGAGCCCGCGAAGGACATTTGCAAGATGCCAGGGAGGCAGGAGACCAACCAGGAGTGTGGGCTGCACAGCAGTCAAGGGTGGAAGAAAGCAGTCAGTTGTGTTAAATGTCCATGAGAGGTCAAGTAAGAGGGAGATTGCAAAGGCCATGGGATGTCACAGCACAAAAGCCGGTGACCCTGGCCAGAGGTGTTCGGGGAGTGGGGGTGTTTGAAGCCCAACTTCCAGGATTTGAGGAGGGAGGGAGTGTGGGGGGGGGGGGAGAGGGTGGCTCAAGGGGTGTGAGGTTAAAGGAAGCCTTTTCTTTCTTTGATATCAGGACAGTGACTCTGATGGGAGAGGGTGAAGATCCAGGAGGGAGGAAATAAGCAGTAGTGGGGGG